TGCCCTCCTGCCCTCTGGGAGGCGCTACAGGAGCCTACGGACCAAAAACTCCAGGTTCAGGAACAGCTTTTTCCCTACACCTCTCTCCCTGCCGAACACTGCCCCTCGACGCCCCACCCAACTTCACACAAACACATACTCACCAACCCCCATCCGCCATCCCCCCCTGGACTGAACCAACCACACTTACCTCAAGTGCACTGCCATCCAGGACTTTATTGACACCACTTCACTATTAACTTCACCTTTCATCTGAGCATATCATTGCACTACTGTACATTCATACCGCACATTCTGTACTGTAAATCTTTCCCTTTGCACCTCTGTACATACTGTATAGTTATTCATACTGTATTACCATAGTCATAGCCTGTTCATAGCCTGTACATACCTGTAGCAACAGACACTCACGTAGACACTGTACCATATGATATTTGATTACTGCTTACGCACTTACCTAGTACCTAGTGACATGTGCAATGACAAAGTTAATTCTAAAAAAAAAAAAGGTTTAATCTAACTTATTGCAGCCCATACTTTAAAAGATTTCCACCTGAATTTTACATCTAATGACCTTCAGGACTGTCTACTCAAGATGGTCTTCCAGTAGCCACTAGCCATAAGAAGAGAAACTGTGTGTGACATGCACACTTCTTAAAAAGACACAATCTTAAAAAATAGTAACTGAGAGTTGCATTTTTGCACCACAGTTTTAGAATTTGCTCAGCCCTTTCTCCTTTGATGAAAAGAATAAGGTAGAATGACATTCTTCATAGTACTTTATTACATTCCAAAACAAACGTGTTGGCAGGCAAAACGCAGGCTGGCTACCACAGCACCACAGCCAAAGAGCAGTAATTATACCAACATTTCCCTCTGAAATGTTTCCTTGCCAGGGCAAAAAGCACTCTGAAACAGGATTTAAAAAATGTGTCAATAAAATGATTCTTTTTTTTTTTTTTTTTATCTGACTTTGGAGAATTGTTATCAAACCTAGTCCTTAAAACAGATAAAGTAATGATTGTAGGTGATTTTAATATTCATGTGGACATCAAGAATGATGCCTCAGCACTACATTTATTGCATTGCTTGATTCGGTTGGCTTCTGTCAAAGCGTTAAACCCACACACTGTGTCAACCATACTCTTAACCGAGGATTAACAAAAGGTATTGAAACTGAAAAATTGGTGGTGTTTCCTTATAATCCCATTCTATCTTACCACTATCTACTATGTTTTCAGTTCCAATTACTGGAGTTTGAGCCACCAAGCAAATACTCCTATACTAGATCTGGTGGTGGTGTGGCTAAGTTTAAGGATTCAGTGTGTAACTACTCCTATAGACTCCTATGCTCGATGGATATTTGGACTGTTTTGTCACCATCAACTTTCACCAACTTACTTCAGTTGTGTCCTCGTCCAAACCAATGACCTGCCTCACAACCAAAGAGGTTTTGCCCTCAGTTGGCACTTCTTTGTTAAATATTATTAACCTTTCCTTGACAACAGATTATCTACCTCAGTTTTTAAGGTAGCGGTTATTCAACCACTTCTTAAAAAGCCTGCTCTCGATCCAGGGATTTTTAGACAGTTCCAGACCATTATCTAACCTTCCTTTCATATCCAAGATCCAACAGTGGCAAATCAACTCTGTGAATTTTTGTATAGCAACAAATTATTCTAAAATTTTCAGTCAGTTTTCAGAATGCATCATTAGTACAGAGACAGCACTGGTAAAAATCTCTTGTGATCTTTTAACTGCATCAGATAAGGGACTAGTCTCTGTATTGGTCTTGTTACATCTAAGTGGGGCATTTGATAAAATTGATCACCACATTTTATTAGCGACTTGAACATTTAATTGCCATAAAAGGAACTGCTTTAAGCTGGTTTAAATCTTCTTTATCAGATTGCACCCAGTTTGTACAAGTAAACGATGAGTCTTCTCTGCAGAGCAAAGTTACCCGTGGAGTTCTGCAGGGTTCAGTCAATGGACCTATTTTATTCAACTTATATATGCTTCCGCTAGGTAATATCATTCTGCATCGAGATGATGCTGAGAAACTTGTCCACGCATTTGTTACTTCAAGGCTTGATTACTGTAACTCCATGCTTTCAGGTTGCTCAACAAAAGTCTCTCCAGCTTATACAAAACGCTGCTACTCGAATACTGACTATAACTAGTAGGAGAGATATCACCCCTGTTTTAGTAACTTTACACTGGCTCCTGGTAAAATTGAGAATTGAATTTAAAATTCTTCTTCTTACATACAAAGCCCTTAAAGTCAGGCACCATACTGCCCCATTAGAACACTGAGCTCCAAAATGCAGGGCTACTTGTAGTGCCTAGGGTCTTTAGATATAGAATGGGAGCCAGAGGCTTTAGTTATCAGGCACCTTGGCTATGGAATCAGACCTCTGTTTGGATTCGGGAAGCAACCAACACAAATATTTAAGAGTAGGCTAAAAACTTTTCTTTTTAGTAAAGCTTTTATTTAGGCATGGTTTCTTTATTTTGTGAGAAGGCTTATAGTTACGGATTTATGAATTTTCTTGTTTTATAATTATGTATTTTATCGCTTTTAATGTTAAGGGGCGGCTGTGGCTCAGGAGGTAGAGCAGGTTGGCCGTTCGGAAGGTCGGCGGTTCAATCCTGGCTCCCCCTGGTTGCATGTCGAAGTGTCCTTGGGCAAGATACTGAACCCCGAATTGCCCCTGGCGGCTATTCCGCCAGTGTATGAGTGAGTGTGAATGTTAGTTTCCGTTTGAGCACTTAAGCTCAGTGTATGAATGTGTGTGACTGGTGAATGCAGATGTAGTGTAAAAGCGCTTTGAGTGGTCGAAAAGACTAGAAAGGCGCTATACAAGTATGGAGCATTTACATTTAATGTGTGTATCTTGTCATGTATTTTCAACTGTTTTTGTGTAAAGTGTACAGGGACCACATAGCTTGTGATTTTACACTTTAAATAAACCTGACTTCACTTCACTTGATTCTCTGAAGTAATATGAATTGTTTAAGTTACTGTATGTATTTTACATACGTCAGACTGGTTCACCTCAATGGTGGGGAAGGAATCAGCGCTAGTGCGAGAGGTAGATACCAACTACACGTAGTTGGGCTCCGCTCTATATATTACTGGGTCTGGAACCAAAATCCTGGAGAGGGGCTGAACACTCTCCTTTTCCGGAGTTGCCCAGGATGAGCGATGTCACAAGCATCTAGGGATATTCACAAGCCGCCAGGCTGACTGCCGCTGTGTTGGAGTTCTCCCTGGAGAATGAGAGGGTCTCCTCTATGTGACTGCAAGTCGCTTAGGGGGAAGGTTCTGACTGTTGTGTGTGCACCAGCTCAGAGTACTCGACCTTCTTGATATGTCTGGGTGGCATTTGGGAAGAGATTCCATCTGGGAACTTTATAGCTCTGCTGGGAGACTTCAACACTTAAGATGTGCTTTTTTATTGGACTTCTGCGATAGTCATGGATTGACCATAACAAGCAAAATGTTCAAGCAGAGGGTGATATGGGGTACAAACTTTGTGGTAGTATCATCGGATCTGCGGCAATATATTTTAGACATTTGGCTGAAGAAAGCAGCAGAGCTGTCAACTGATCAATACCTAGAAGTGTGTTGGATCAGATGGCGGTGGAGGCTGCTGGAGAGACCTGGTAAACCCAAATGTGTAGTGAGGCTGAACTGGGAAGGGTGAGGGTGAATCTGGCTGAAGCCTGTCTGTAAGCATTTAACTCACGTGAAGAATTTCTCATGAATTCCAGTGGAGGTTGAGGACGTGGAACCCGAGTGGGCCATGTTCAAAGCCTCTACTGTGGAGGTGGCTGCTAGGAGTTGTGCTCAGAAGGTTGTTGGTGTCTGTCATGGCTACAACTTAGGAATTCCCTGGGCACATTAGCTGAGTTTGTGTGATGGAAATTCTTGTGAGCAAGTCAACTCTTTATTGAAGAAGGAGGTCTCAGGAAACTGAGATGTATTACTCAGCATTGTTTATTGAAGGCCAGATGGAGAGACTGGCAACAGCAATACATACTGCAAACAAGAATCAACCCAACCCAACCCAAACCAACAGACAGAGAGCCTTCCTTTGGAGTTGTCCAGGCACGTCCAGCTGGCAGGAAATGCCGGAGAGATTACAAATCTTATCTGGCATGGGAATGCTTCCGGATTAGAGGGTGACACAGGAGTGGAATTTCACTCCTGTCCCATCCCACTTCCACAAAAATACTCATGCCCCATCCCAATTCAATGAAGGAGTAAAAAATATCCTGTCCCAATCCCGGTAGAATGACTCCTGTCTTATCCCATTCGCAATAATAACTAATACTAATTTGTATATAAAACTGATTCTGGTCCAGACCAGGATTCCTGAAAAAACTGTCAGCCTCTACTCTGGATCCCCCTGAAAAATATTGCTGGCAAGAGGAACGTGTGGACTACCTTTGTTTTCCTGCTGCTTCTTCATTGCCCTCACGTGGCTTCCTCCTGGGGTCTCAATTCTCCCACATTTCTTTTGATTTAAGACAAATGTTCACAACTTTTTGTCGTTTTAATTACCACAAGCTGTTTCTGGCACTGTACGGTGCGTATAAGCGCGGCCGTGGCTCAGGAGGTAGCGGGGTGCCTGTTAATCAGAAGGTCGGCGGTTCAATCCAGGCTGCATGTCGAAGTAACCTTGGGCAAGACAGTGAACCCTGAATTGCCCTGGCGGCTGAATGTGAATGTTAGTTTCTGTTTGAGCACTTAGGCTCAGTGTGTGAATGGTGAATACGGAGCATTTTCAACCATCTCTCTCCCCTGTTTCAACAAAGACAACAATACAGCGACACCAAATGTTGTTTCCTAGCATGCACGTGACGCAGATTCCCAGCAGAGCAAAGTATAATTGGTTGGAATTCATTTATCACTGAGTGAGAAGAGCTAGCCATAAGTGAGTTATGGGTTTTGTTTGAGAACTCGTTATATTAAAGAAATTATAGTTACTTACCTCTCATGATGTGGCGCACTACTTTGACTGAGCCTCCTCTTAGGTTGAGAATTTGATGGACCCTCTGCTGAAGCTAAAAAGAGAAAAAGAGGATCAGAAGCATACTGCAGTTTTTAATTTGTAATAAAATGAAACAAAAAATAGCTAAGAAATCAGCATACATTTCCTTGTTGTTTGCTTTGACTTTATGAATTTTATTATTTGGTCAAAATTGTATTCACCAAAAAGACAAAACGGACATTTTATTTATCTTACTGCAGTGACAGCAACCCCATTACATTAGTGTTCTCCAGAGGGTGTGAATCTTTGGTACTGACTAACGTGCTGGTACTGTTATTTGATTGGTCCAATATCTGTGTGGAAGACACTAAAAAGATTTTTCATATCAATTCAATTCTAACAGCCTTATAACATGCAGTTAACTGCCATGTGAAATGTCCACTTGGAGGCTTGATGCTTAGATCCCATTTTAGCAAATATGTTCCAAACATGTTGTTTCCTTACACAAAAAGTAAGGCAATTCAAATTTCAGTTTGCCTTTAATCAATTGGGAGACATTGTGCATATCAAATGGACATCAACTGTTTATCATAAGGGAATTTAAAGGAGCCACTAATTTATCATTATTTCATGACGTGATATATCAATGATGAACAGGTAACTGTACTGTGACTTAAACTGCAGATACAAAGTGCTGGTGTGCCCAATCAGAAACTGCAAAAGTAGTAGTGCAAGAGTCCCGTGAAATCCAGACTTGTGGAGTCACATGGCTGCAGTAAGTAAGTAAAATTTATTTATATAGCACTTTTCACAGATAAAATCACAAGGTGCTTCACAATAAAACAACAAAATACAGCTCTAGCTAAACACCAGAAACACACTGACATATGGCAGACAACTTTAAAACTAAGCCTAATGTTTAGCTAAACGCCTGTTTGAATAACAGAGTCTTCAGCTGCTTTTTAAAGGAAATACAGTTTAAGGTGCGTAATGAAGTGGGGAGTGCATTCCACAACCTGGGTGCAGCGGCTTGGAAAGCCCGGTCTCCCAGTGTTCATAAAAAACATCCGTCTGTTTTTATAGCTTGTCTGATCAGATGTCCTAACAATAATTAATGAGAGAGGAAACTCATTTGGCCACAGTCAGTATCCAGTGTTTCCCTAGGATTTATTTCAGGGTGAGTGGTCGAGTCTCTGAAACTACTAGTGTCGCAGAGTGGGCATGTTACGGATATGTGGTGTTGTCATCAACGCAACGTACTAATTTTTGCCTGTTTAGGTTAGCCACCTTCTCTGCTACTCTTCAACATTTTTACCACTAAAGTTACTGCCTTCTGATGGAGCTTGCTACAGTTATGCTACATTCAGATTATGGGCAATAAGACCACAGATAGGGCTCCATTTAACCACCTTTTGTCATCATAAAGTGACTAAAATTACAACAATTCAATAAGAAAATATTACAAATTGAATCAATATAAATGAATTTGATGTATCAATACTATATATTCAAATGCATGTGCAATTATTTAAGGGGACAATTCACATTAAATGTAGGCTACTGCAACAGCAGGATGTTATAATACTATTTAACACGGACAATTCAAAATGAATATATTGCTGCAATACATGTATTGTGTATTGTTCCCTATTAAATAGGTTATTACTTGACAACTTCCATATGCTGCTGAACACAGGAAAAATGTGGGTCTGATGAGGCTACTCTCGCGCATCCTTGTTTCAGAGATGGAGGCACGAGTTTGAGACTCGGACTCGAGTCACACTTAAGTCGCACACATAGTGATTTCAGACTTGACTTGAGACTGCTATGCCATTCTTCATAACCTTTGGCTTTAAAACTTCATACAACAAGGCCCAAACAAAGAAGCGCTGAACGCAAAATCAGTTAGTAACCTGAGGTAAGTGAACATGTTTAGCTCATCAAATGTTAGCTTGCTTCTTGCTTCAGCTACGATCTACGGGAGGTTAACTTCCGTCGTTCATTATGAAAAGATGAATGAGTGTTTGTTTACTTGCCAAAGTTGTAGTGGTCGATTAATATAATAATTTACATCCTGCTGGCTGCCATCATGTTAGTTATTAATGTTAGCTGCTAACAGGTTACAGGTTTATTGTTGATCATGTAATGTTACAGTTTTATTTAGTTATAATGTTACACTGGTTAGAGAGTCCGGGGGGTGTGTTGACTTACAGTAGCTAATAAGCTGTCATTAATTGCAGTGCACATTACATGGTTGTGCTCTGTAAGTGAAAAACAGGTTACAGTTACAGAATTCCTTATAGCTATGCAGTGTTCTAAGCAGCCTGGTTTGAACGCATAATTCTACATATTTTTTTCCCATAACATCAGGAAGCTGCCCCCCCCCCCAAAACAATGGTAGGGGAAACACTGGTATCTACGTTTGTGTTTGTACCTGTGATATCCCTGAGTTGCTGATCTCCACCATAATGTAGCAGATCAACTGAAGGACGAATAGTCCAGCGTCCAGACGGCGAAGATAGAACTCATCATCCATGCTGTCATCTAGGATCTCCCCGCGACGAACCATCTCCTGCACGCACAAACACACATAAACAAAGGTAAATCAAAAAGAAGATATGTTCTAATGCAATAAATCACACATAACTGTTAATTAGGTGGTTTCTATTGTTCTGTAAATGAACTAGACATGGTTGAATTTTAATAAGAGTGTGTTTATTCATATAGTGTATCAAGCTTATTACTTCAATATATTTACTGTAAATCTGATAGTAATATTTTTCTCATGGATAGGGACGTTAGGCTGCTGTATGAATGAGCACTTCAGAGATAATAATAGTAATTATATACATAAGCCTTTATATGGCTGGTCTGGTTGTATACATTGTGAAAATGGAAGGATTTACCTGGAGTAGTGGTGATTACATATTGACAACATATTTCTGTGGTTTTTACATGGTTTGAATTCCGGTTGTGGGCCCAGGGGGGTTTATATAATGATGATATACAGTAATCAAGAGGTGAATTTGTGCATTATACTTTGTCAATTAAAGCAAGCCATGCAGCCTTCCGTGTTTGAGAACGGCGCTGTTTTTTTATCACCCACTAGAGGGCTGCAGCGCCGCAATAACCAGCCTAGTTCAAATGAACGAAATGACTGAAAAAAAGATTAGTTCATTTTAATGAACGAGATTTGAATGAACGAGTCTGTCAAAAGATTCAAACTTGCCATCAATAGCAAACACTGTCCAGCGTCTCCCAGAAGCAGGCGCGCATGCACAGAATGCAACGTGGGTTTGTTTGGGTCGACGACAACACGGCGGAAATTTTTCAGTCACTCTGAAGTCCAGACGTATTTTAGTTTTTATGAGAGCGCTGAGGGAAACTTGACTGATGAAAATAACCTTATAGTGAACGCAGGGTGAGTTAACTTTTAGCTTTGGTTTGTCTCTCTGACTTGCTGACAGCCTGTAAACTGAAGCTCTCAGTGTTGCTGCTCTTGTAAAAATGCTACACGTTGTTCTGCTGCTGTGTGCGTCGTGTGTCGGCAGAGTCTATTCGTCCACTGCATATGATAACACGTTACGCAGTTTAGTCAACCAACCAGCATATCTAGAAACGCTACAGACTCCTCTGTATTTATGTCAGTTTTTGGGCTCATTGAAGTTACTATCACTGTCACTGTCTTCTAAAGACTTACTTGTTTTCATGTAATTGTCCACGGGGTCATTGTATTACATTGTATAATATAAAATATAAAATCTTGATAATGCACACTGATGACTTTCATATGTTTACAAAAGGTATTTGCTGTTATTTAATTTGTTCCGCAAACAAAATGGCAATTGTATTTGTAGTTTTCACTATGAAACTTGAGGTTTCAGTGTGTATATCAGTACATTTTAATCTTTTTCGGCATATTTTTACAATATTGTGATAATACTGATAACCGTGATAATTTTGGTCACTATAATCGTGATATGAAATTTTCATACCATTTCATCCCTACTGACACATCAACCACACACTTAACACTTCACCTTTGTGATATGTGCAGTGTTAACTTTAGAACCGTGTCAGCTGGCCTGCGCAGTAGCTCCCCCAGCTGTCCTTCCCCCCGAGGCACACAAGGGGGCGAGGGCCCGTTCAACGCTGCTTGCAGCTTTAATTTAGGTGTTGTTTTCCACAAATCCATTTTCTCCATTGACCAGACATGCACATTAATTGATTTCACGGCTAAGCTTCAGAAAGTAGGGGCTGCTGCTCACACATACATACACACACTTGCATAGTTATCCATCTGAACAACCCTGTCAGTATGCCAATAACACATTGCTGCCAATACACACACAGCCCACATTAATCATCATTAGAGATTAAGAAGCAGACCTGAGAGGGAGACTAGAGTCTGGAGTGTAAGCCACTAGAGTAGTACAGAAATACAGACACTGTGTTAAGGGTTTTTCTGTCACAGTTGTACCTCTATGCATGACAGTATGAAGAAAGGTAAAGCCATAACGTAAATTATTACAGTGAGTAAAACCATGCATATAATCCTTATCTACATTCAAAAAGAAAAGTCAAATCAAATTAAGGGTCAGTGCTGGCCCTCAGTAATTTCAAAAATTAAGCTTTTCTTGAATAGTCCATGTCTTCTCTCTCTTAAATGATAATTTTGTACAATTATTTAATGGAAATACATAAACTAAAGGATTAACATTTCTCAATAGAAAGAAACTACATACTGAAACATTTAACCTACATACTGCAATCTCATTAAAAAAATCTGTATTGATCTGTTTTAGTCTGAGAAAGGATGGCCCAACACAAATAAAGCAAAACGTGCCACAGTATATCAAGAAAAAGGGCAACTTTTCAAACCATTCCTAATGAAAACAAATAGCTTTCAGCCTCGAACTAAAGGGTACCACACATGACATTTACATCCCAGTGATTTAATCTCAGAAAAAAAATTAATCAAAATGTCTTTAAAAGATCAGTTATACTGTAAAATCAAATTATAGCTGTGAAGTTCAGCTCATTAACGTGTCTCAATCAAAGGGCAACCACAGTAAAAGACTATTCTGGGAAAACCCTTTCAAGCTGCAGGTTGCAGAGCTGGGACGCAAAACAATGTATCCATTTTTGTGACAATTCGTTCTGAAAGCTGGATCTCATCCTCAATTATTTCATTTTGAGAGAAGAAAAGACAAGCAGAAACAACTTCAGAACAAAACCCTACTGTACAATCTCAACAGTAGCTTGTTAAAGATGCAAAACAATGAAGATAATTAAAACAAGAATCTTTAATAAAGCCATTGAATGTAGGGCATTTGTCTCTTCTGTGTCCTTTGGCTAAAACACTGGCGAGAATTATGTTCAATTACAAAGTAGAGAGTTATCGCATTGTAAAATTGTCCCAAAGCTTGGCCTTGTTGCTGTCAACTAGCACCCATTAAAGATGCAAAAAGCTAGAAACAAAGCTATTTGAATGTAAACTGTGTTTCTTCATTCCTGTAGGAAAAATAGATTATCTCAGTTTCCAGGAAACGCTTATTATTCTGAGCCAATACAGTAGCTTGCGGCACAGTTACACAAATCTCACAATCCAACTTCAGCAAAGTTACAATACACAGGATGTAGGCCTAAATAGCTAGATAGGACACAATACATACATGTTACCCCTGAGGGTGAGTGAAAAACAGCATGATCATACACGGATATGTAAGACACACCCTGTGTTTGCATTTTCTTCCATTGTTCCACACAGGAAGAAAGTCTCTTTCCTGTCATCCTCATTACTGCACATGGCCACCACTGCAAAGCAAAGCTAGACGCATTTTCGGAGGCCAAATGAAACACTGTGACTGCAGCTTTGTACTGGGAAAATTAGTGCATATACAATATACTTGACAGCAATGTGAGTCAGCAATCAGAAATTCATCCAGAGACAAGGTAAAAGAAGCATAAAGAAAACACAAAAAAAGACAGGCGAAGAGTTGTACTGATTTACTTCCTCAAATCCATGGTCAGTGATTCCCAACCAGGGGTACATTTGCTTCAGGAGTACTTCTGTAATGGGGTATGTGCAATGATTGTGGAGTAGCTCAACAAACTTGAAAAACAGCAATGTCCAAATACAACCAACCAAATTGGTGTGATGCTGATCTTCAGTAAAGGTATTGTTATGATGACCAGTAATCTACCAGCCATCAATAAGCTCACATACCTCACCACATACCTCCCACCAACCAGTCAGTTTTAAAACCTGAACACTGCGTGTGTCTTTTTTTTTGGCATGCTCATTAGTTTGAGCATGCGCACGAGCACACGAGTGGGAAGGTAGTGGTTGCAATCTGTAATTGCACCGCTAGAGGCCACTGAAAACTACACATGATCCCTTTAAGTATTAGCTCGGGAGGCACTAATAGCCTTAGTGCTTCATGATCTCTACCTCTAAAAGAGACAGAATCTACCCAAATAATAAACCGCACAACATATAAAGTGAATAATGTTTAATGTCTCTCTTAGTGTGGATTGACAAGGAAAGGAATGGCAAGTCAAATGACATCAGCAATGGAGAAAGAAAATTACAGTTAAGCTTAAAGTGTGACAGAAAATTTAATGCAAAGCATGAGTGAACAGATTCATAGTTTTCCTTGTTGCTACTATCAGAATGAGCTAGAAGGACTGACTAAGATGGTGACCACTCTGGTATGTTGACTGGCCAGGAATCAAGTAGTGTTAGACTGTCCCAAAAATCCCACAGTTCATCAAAATAGCTGACAGGTATTAAGGCGCTAAAAGCTCGTCCTGAAACGCGTTTCTTGGCTCGCCAAAGCTTTCAGCTTCACTGTGCCCAGAATCTGTGAATCACCACCCTATAGAGGTATGTAGTGAAAGAAATAGACAGACAGATTAAGCTATGCCAGTGGTATGGCTCTATGCATGTCAGTGTCATTTGGTCCACCAATTTAGCCCAGACTAAATTATCTCAACTAATCTTAACTTTTTGTACAGATGCTCATGTTCCCAACAGGATGAATCCTAATGCCTCTTCTTTCTCCACAGATTCCTGGTCAACGACTGTGACCCTTTCCCAGCCTGTATTCATGGTCATAAGTGGAGGTAACTGGGCGGTGGAAAGAACACTTTGAGGAACTCCTAAATCTGAATGACACGCCCTCTTTAGTAGAGGCAGAGCTGGAGGCTGATGGGGGTTTCTCGTCAATTTCCCTGGTGACATCACTGAGGTAGTTAAACAACTCCACAGTGGCAAAGCCCCAGGGATTGATGAGATCCCTTAAGAAATGATAAACGCTTTGGGTGTGGAGGGACTGTCTTGGATGACACGTCTCTTTAACATTGCATGGAAGTCGGGTACAGTGCCCAGGGAGTGGCAGACTGGGGTGGTGGTTCCCCTGTTCAAAAAGGGGGACCAGAGAGTGTGTGCCAATTACTGGGGTATCACACTTCTCAGCCTTCCCGGTAAACAACTGACCAGCTCTTTACTCTCACAAGGATCCTGGAGTGGGCTTGGGAGAATGCCCATCCAGTCTACATGTGCTTTGT